GAAAGAGAGAGAGAGAGAGAGGTTATTGTAATTCCAAGAAAGAGAGTCCACAAAGACAGAAATATGCAAAGCGACGAGGCCAAAGTCTTACTGGGATTTCCTCCGCATTCTTATCCCTCCACATCTCAGGTCTTGTAGTTTTTAGTTAGGGTTTTTCTTTGATATTGCGCAGATTCTGGTTTGGCTTAATTTTTCAGCTTCGAATTTTCTGTATCGTATGGGGAATAAACAAATACCCCAAACTTGATAATGAATAGAGCGCTTGAATATCTCAAAGATTTATTTGAAATTGTGCAAGTGTTGATCATAATTACCCAACTGAATTGAATCGTGTTAGCAATTTTAGGTTAAAGCCGCTTACAGAAAGAAGGTCTGGGAAACTCATCCCGATCGATTTCCAAATTATGAAAAAGCCCAGGCCGAGTCTAAATTCAAGTTGGTAAGTGAATGACTGCACATTAAAAAAGAATGTTTGTATAAGATATTCTTCTTCGACTTTATCTCCAATAGAAATTTTGGATTTTTTGAATCCTTGAGCTATTGTTGCTCCGGTCTGATGTAATAGTTTAATGCAGATTTCCGAAGCTTACACTTTCCTCCTCAACTCTGGTAATCCTCTCACCTTCATAGATTTTTTTTTTTTTTAGGTATCTATTGGTCATTAGTTTTTTAGTTCGATACAGAAAATTTTGAAGCAGCTACAATTTTTAACTTGACTCTTCAAATATCAACAAATTCTGGGCCAGTAATGTTTCAATAGCTCGGAATTATGGAATGTGCAAAAAAAATAATAAAAATTCAGGAATATATAACCATATAGAGTGAAAATCAAAATTTGAAAGTATAAGATGCTTTACAGATGAGTCTGGATTTGGGATGAAACGTACTCACCAGATTCTGAATCCACTTAATTAACTGTATCTTAATAATGCCAAAGCAAAACAGATTGCTATTGCGACCTTTTTCAACTCTTGAAACTCTCTCATGTATTATAAGTTAATATTATTATTAGCTTTCCAGTCTCTTAATTTTTAATAGATAAAAGATTCGGGAATGGGATTCTGGTTGTCGGCGTTCTCATTGCTTTGACTCAGTGGGTCATTCTTTACATGGAGTTCTTAAAATTGCTTTGACATTTAACTTCAAAACCTAACTATATCGATTTTCTGTTAAATTGGAATTTTATAGTAACATTGTAGATATATTCTCTAAATTTGATCTCCTAAAAAACATGGCAAAGTTGTCATAGTTTGCATTCCATGATGGAGGGGCAATTGATTACTGAAAAGATAATATATAATTTTGTTCCATTAAAGTCAGGAGACAGAAAATAAGATACGCATCTTAAAATACTTTACAATGTTAATACAGGTGGAAGTGGACAAGGTTCAAAAACAGGTATCTTCTTTTTAGTTTTCATTCTTAATCTAGACAATTTGGTTTAGACCTCCTTTAGAAGTGAGAATCATCATAAATAAATGTAATCCTTGTCAATCAGCATCATATTCGCGGGTTGTAAGAAGCGGTGTTCCAAGATCTCCTGGAGGAAGAAGAAATTTGGCACTTACTTCGGTTCCTTACTTTTTGATCGTTCTAGGTGCATTTACACTTGGGGGGTCAACTGCTGCCAGGTAATTCTAATTTCTAGACTGATGTATAAAATCACCTTTTTTTATCTGCTGTGGTCCTAATTGAAGGTCCACAACTTGATTTTGTGAAACAGGGCTTACAGGAAACAGAGAGAGTCCTGTCCTTCTTACAATCCCTTCCTCCCCTGATCATGAATGTCGACAACAATGCTCCAGTTAAATAGTAGAAATTTTTTGTGAAATTTTGTATTGTACTGTATTATAATAAAATTCCATTTGCTTGGCCTAATTTCCCCATGTATATCACTATTATTTCGATTGTTGTCATGTAATTCGCACATGAACTTTGTAGGCAACCCAATAGAACTGGCTAAAGAAAACAGTTGATCTCTATGCCTGATTCCGGCCTTTACTAAACCTAAAGAACAAAAGAAAACGATACAGAGCCATCAAGGGGGGCAGTGCACTGCAAGAATCCGTTCTCCATCATAGACAGGAATGACTACTGTACAAGTGTGCAATGGAACCGTGTAATCATTCAAGTGCATGCTTGGTGTGTAATATTGGATAGCTTCTTTACCCTTTGGAGTAGACTCTAGAAAGACCCGGAAGAATTGAGAAACAGATTCAATTAGAAACAAATTCAATTAGGAGCAGGGATATTGTGGGGAATAGGGTGAGATAGATTGCTTATAAATGTAATAATGGGGAGGATCTGGGGATTCATTGAGAAAAGTAGAAAGTTGTGAGGAGAGTCGAGCCTGCCTGGGAGTGCTTCATTTCGTTCAGTGTCATCATTTCAATTCCAGTGTTTTCAACTTTTGCCAATCAATAAACAATACAAACTCCATTACATTTCAACTCTGTTATCTTCTTGTTTATTCCCAGTTGAATTTATCTGGGCTAATCCATATTGGTTAACAGCTTCACAGGTTCTTTAGTAGAGGATCAGCAGCAGTAAATCCACCGAAAATTACGCAGCAATCTCAGGTTCCTATCACTAAATTTGGGCTTAGTGCGTGCAAGTCAAATTTGGTGCATACAAACAAGATTAAGGGTCTGTTTGGCATAGTTTTTGAAAAGCCAAAATGAGCTTTTGAAACCCAAAAGCTTCTTATGAACTCGTTTAGCTAATTTTATGAAAGTGTTTCTAGTTAGAAATTTTTTTAGAAGAAGTTGGTTTAGTAGTATGGCTTCCTCTAAAAGTAGAAATAAGAAGATCTTTCTCAAAATTAGTTACAAACAAAATTAAGGTTGCTTCTTTCAAAAGCTCTTTTACAAGAAGCAAGAGCAAAGTCATGCCAAATGGGCGATAAATTTTGTTTTAAAACCATGCAAGAGTAAGATTTAACTTCCAAATCAACCACTGGGCAACACACAAAAAACAAGAGAGAGATTATCCAACTTTTAACAGTAAATGGTTCCATTCATGAGTTTCACAGTGAGAAAATGAGTGGTCTGATATTATTCAGGCCACAAATACCAACGATTTTATGCTACCATTCTTGTAATCTTTGTAGACCTTATTTGTGCATGGATATATGCCTTCAAGTTCCCTCCTCACAAAATTAATGTCTCAGATAAAGCAGAGATGCTATGTTTTTGCTGCCACTAGTCGCCTTCAAATGTTGCAAGTATGTGTGAACTTTGAGAGCTTTAATATGTAACCATCTTGGGCTACAGTATACCTTGTAGATAAGCAGAATACTTCATTGGCACTATGCTAATTGAAAGCCTATTCTAGTCTTCAGACAACAATACAAAGTCATTAAAAAGGGGACTTTTGGACACGTGGACAGACCATGACAAGTGCAAACCACTTCTATGATCTTGACCAAAGATGCAGAAGCTGCTTATCAGAGTATATAGAAAGTAGCTATACAGCTGAAGATATTACAGTATTCAATAAGGGTAATGTATTATGTATACCTTACTCAAAAGTATGCACTTCTTTCCTCGAGTCCCAAGAATACTCACTCTGTCCAGGAGGATGAAAGCAGAAAAATATAGAGAATCACTTCATATTATAGTGGTTCTTCTGAAAGTTATAAAATATTTAGACCCAACATGCAGAATTACACAATTAAAAGCAACAAGTCACTTCTTAATTGTTTCTAGATAAATAGATCAAACAAGTCAATTTGTTCTAAATTTGAATACTACGGTCAATAATTAAAGTAATAAATAACACCAAAGATGTTCATTGAGAAATCTCAATCGGGTAAAAACTTCGGGCACTTTGCCAATCAATAATCCGCTATAAATCGAAATAATTTACAGTACGGTCCAGACTCGTCTACCCCGTAGAACTTTTGACCTCAATTCATGCAATATTCCTTGATCCTATTGAAGGTATGCTCCTTCAAAACAAATCCCGGCCCCATGGTTTATACATTAGCTCTCTTGAACTGCGTGCTGACTCCAGATCTCAACTCCTGGTATCTCACCTTAGTCCTCCTGAATTTGTGCTTCTGTAACAGCCCGATCTCTGGTATTGATTTATCTCTAGTGGATTAGGTGGTTTGATGTTTGATCAAAAGAATTCGTGTGTTTTGATATGTGATTTTATATGAAGCAATATGGTTTGATCAACAAAATATGATTTGGAAGAATTTATGAATCAAGTAATATGTAGTGGTTAAATCTTGGAATCAATGAATGTTTGGATAATCAAAGAATTGATCTCTATGGAATCAATATGATTCAACACCCTTTTGGATGTTCATATGGTAGGATATATATAGGAAAATTGTTTGGGATGATAAGGGATTGAAAAACCAAGTATTTCAAGCAAAACGGATTTTTGAACGTCGACGTGTCGCTTGAGCCATAAGCCAGCGACATGCGAGTAGCAATTGAGCAGTTGCCAGTATTTTTATCATAACTTTTTCACTCGATATCAGATTGAGGTGATTCAAAATGCATTGAAAATTTAACTCAAAGAGCTATAATTCTTCTAGGTGAGTCTTGTTCAAATTCTAATGTTTTCTATGTGAAAATGCGTTGCAAGTTGCAATTGAGAATTTGAAACATAACTTGTACAGCTTTTTGACACTCTTTAGACTTCTGATTGCATTCCTTTGATCATATGTGATCTTCTTGGACTCCTTCAAAACCTATACTACCAAATTCAGCTCTTTTGCTATAATTATGATTCAATAACTCATATTTTGACTTTAATTACAATTTGATAAACTCCTAGTACAATTCAACCAAAACATGATTTTGACTAAGAAAATTGCCAATTACAAATTTAGAAATTGCTAATTAAAATTTGGACTTAACACCTTCTATTACCATTATTTACTGTATATAAGTTTGCAACAAGTAGCTAAAAGACCAATGACCTAACCATATGTTGGGTTTACATCTGTCCCAAGGCATTATTTCTAATACTTTCGTGTACAAGGATAATCCCTTTTGCTCTGGGCAATACAATAGCTAGTTAACCAAACCATACACCGTTACCAGTATCATTGTTGGGTTCTCCGAGAGCAATTGTAATAGGTTGCCATCCTACATGTGCATGCTCGATCCATCTCTTCACAGTAATTATCATGTTTTTAAGCATGATTTTTAGAGTAATCCTGACAGACACACTTGACAATCTTGTGTTGGGCTGATTCAATTTTTTTGGAACATATTCCTTTTTTATGTTATCAGCAATTCTTCCAGAACTAGAGCACTTTTGACCTCCCAACCCAAGACTACCAGCATTGTATAAGCAAGCTGTTTCCTAGTTATGGTTCGACTAACTGAAGTCTGCATTATTTCATCGCAACAAGCATTGGTACCAACAGCAAATTCACTCCTGATGAAAGGGAATTCACCCTACGCAATACTCTTCCAATCCCAGACACACATCAGTGCAGCAACAAGACCCATGGATTCATTAAGAGGTTGTGCCAGAAGGATATTACATCCAGGGGCGGATATAGGGGTGGGCTGCACTGGGCTGTAGCCCAGTGCAGCCCAAGCCCAGATGTAATAATTTTTTTTTAAATGGTTGTAGCCCACTATTTAGCCCAGTACTAGTCATTAGCCCATTAGCCCAAATGAAAACCAATTAACCCAAATACCCAATTCATTCCCATTTCCTAATCACCGAATTCTTCAGACATTTCCCAAACCCTTTCACTTCGGTTTGAGCATTCAGTGTCAACTGTCAACCAAAAATTTTCAACCCTCCTCCTCCTCCGTCCGGCGAAGTAGCGAATGGGAGCGACCGAAGCTCGAAGTCTTCTCCTTCAACCCGTCTGGCGTCAGCAGAATCAGGCAGACTGGCAGAGGCTTCAGGTTCAGCATTCGGTTTCGAAACTAGAAGTTATTCTCTTCAGTCTTCACCGCTTCTGGCTTCTGCACACTGCTCTTCAAGCCTTCAGGCTTCAGCTTCAGACTTCGGCTTCTTCAAGTTGAGCACTCAGCCGACAGCAAGTTAATTTATTTTATGATTTTCGTTTATGATTTATGAATGATTTTCTTGGGGATAAATTGGGAATGATTATGATTTATGAATGATTTATAAATTGGGGATAAAAGTTGGTTATAAATTGATTATAAATTGGGGATAAAAGTTGGGGATAAATTGAGATTCACTCACAGCATCGATTTATGAATGATTTTATCCAATTTAATGATTTTTATTTAACTGTGAATCTGTGCTTGAGTGAAAATTGGGGATAAAAGTTGATGTAATAATAGGAATTTATAGGATTAAAGATATTGAAGTATTTTGATATTTATGCTCTTTGGTTTAATATGGAAGAAGATCGACCTTCTTCCAAGAAAGGAAGAAGAACGTTGTTGTCTTTCTAAAAATTTCTCTTGTTATATATAACTTTTATTCGTACATTAAATTTTTAAAATTTTAGCCCACCATATCCGTCATTCCTGGCTCCGCCCCTGATTACATCTATGCATACTTAATTGATTGAGCGTATTTGCTGGGAGAACAACATATCAACTAATATCTTCTTGTCACTAGCATCTTTAAACCCTGTTCATAATATACACACTTCCATCAAATGCCAGTAAAAATTATCTAAATTCCTTCTGCGTCACAAGCATGCATTTCAACTCAGAACATTTCATCAAACCTCTTTAAGCATGATTACCGAACATCAATTCACTAATAACCAAATCCAAGACTCTCAAATATTTCTCCCAATAGAAATCACTATGTGATCCCACTGAATCAAGATACCTTTCATAACACTCATACTGGATTGCTCAATGGATCCATCTCAGCAGCTTTCGTCAATAGAGATATCCAAATAAAAATAAATCCGCAAACACATTCTATACATAAATAAATTATCATAAAACTCATTTACATGTGTCTCGAGAAAAAAAGGGGTTCACCTTTCCCTCTTATAACTCATTAATAGAAATTGATTCTATAAATACATTATACTTGTACCATTATACATACAGTCATACATTATCGTGTGAAGGTGGGCTTTTGGGTTATACATGGGCGAAGAGGGAGACAGGTGTGCAGTAATTCTTGTTGACCGACTCCCAACTTATGTTTTGCACGATGGAGTAAGTGTATTGCTTCTTGGCCAAGCTCAAAGCCAGGCCCAAAAACATGGCGCCATCTCAGCTCGTCCTCCAACTGCAGGGCGCCACATCGGCGCCCTGTTTTTGTCCCTGGCTTTGAGCCTGGCCGAATAGCACGGCTCATGGAGTAAGGGTAGCAGCTCTCTATGTCCCACCACATTGACGTCTTGGCTGTCATATACTGCAGCTCCACGCTATCTATCATAGTCTGCAAACACCTGTCTAGTTTTCGCACCAAGAATAGAGGACTGTGGGATTCAACCATAACCTAGTAACTTTGCAAGTTAATAATTATACAGATGTAACTATCTAAATCTCAGCTTACATCACTTACACCTAACAGTAGCGTGCAGTTTGTGAGCATTCATGCATTCACAGGCAGAAATTTGCATGAATTTAATTTTTGGGTACGGTGAATAGGGAGAAGTTGAAGGAAAATTAACTGGTAAAGAACAGATGATTGAATTACGAAGTAACAAATATAATCCCACTAGAAAAAAAAAATTCAAACATAAGGTTCTTCCAAATATAAAGCAGCAATAGTAAAACAAGCAAATTACTCATTCACTTTGAGTAAACATCAACCAAGGAACTACTAGATCAATTATTTTCACGCTTCAGGTTTCTCCCACTTAAGGGGCTTCACAACCTCCCAGGTGAAGTCAGGGTCATCTCTTCCAAAGTGCCCGTATGCAGCCGTCTTCAAAAACCTACCATTGCCACCTCTCTTGAGATCCAGATCGATGGTGATCATTCCAGGCCTGAAGTCAAAGTTCTCCTTCACAATTTTGAGGATTTCCTTGTCAGGAATCTTTCCAGTTCCATAAGAATCCACGAAAACTGATAAAGGCTCTGGAACGCCAATAGCATATGAGACCTGCACAATGCACCGCCTAGCGAGTCCATTTGCCACGATGCTCTTGGCAGCCTGCCTAACTATGTAGGCACCACTTCTGTCCACCTTGGTTGGGTCCTTCCCAGAGAAGGCACCACCGCCATGGGCTCCCCAGCCACCATATGTATCAATGATGATCTTACGTCCAGTGAGACCAGCATCGCCATGGGGACCACCAATAACAAAGCGGCCCGATGGATTGAGATGGAAAATGGTCTTCTCATCAAGATATTTCTCGGGGATAACTGGCTTAATAACATGCTCCTTAAGGTCAGCAGCAATCTCATCATTTGTGACAGTCTCGTCATGCTGGGTAGAGATGAGGACTGTGTGGACGCGAACAGGAACCATGGCACCATTGTCATTGTAGTATTCAACAGTGACTTGTGTCTTACCATCAGGCCTTAGCCAAGGACATGTACCATTCTTACGAACCTCAGTGAGACGAGCCCCAAGTTTGGTAGCAAGGACATGGCTCAGAGGCATCAACTCAGGTGTCTCATCTGTGGCATATCCAAACATATGACCTTGGTCACCGGCACCAATCTCCTCCGGTCTCTTTGTGAAGTGGCCATGAACACCCTGGGCAATATCTGGGCTTTGCTGCTCAATGTTGACCAGGACCTTGCAATTGTCAGCATCCAGGCCAACATCATCAGAGACAAATCCAATGACACGGCAAGTATCACGGACAATTTTCTCATAGTCTACATCAGCCTTGGTGGTGATCTCTCCAAAGACCATGACCATGTTTGTTTTGGTGCACGTCTCACAAGCAACCTTGCTATCGGGGTCCTGAGCAAGGCAGGCATCAAGAACAGCATCGGAGATCTGGTCACACAACTTGTCAGGGTGGCCCTCGTTCACAGACTCGGATGTAAACAGGAAGGTTTCCATATTGTTTCACTACAAAATAAACAAGCAGAGCCATGAGAATTAAGTACAAGTTCAATTAGCATCTCTACATATAAATAAATTAGATTCTTTCGAATAATGTCTAAAATATTTTATCTTTCAGGATCCATCGATTCCAGAACTACAACACATATGATCCATAGGTCGATTAATATGCCTCATCGCAATGCAAAGAATTCTATATTCGAAGAGAACCTCAAGTAAACATCTTCAAGCGTCATAAAAAGACAATAAAACCAAAGAAGGTTCTATTTTATTTAACTAAATTCAATTCTAGGAGATAAAGGAGGGGAACAACGAAGAGCGATATTCCAAAATAAATTGCATGATGTAAAAGATATCGTTCATCTGAAGTCAAAAGGAATAAAAATGATTTTCCTCTTGCATAAAGGAATGAATGATTTAAAAGTATCAACTCAGAAGCTATTATTAGTAGTTCAAAATTGCATCATCCGCCAAGTGCAAAACATTTTTCTTTCGTTCTTACTTGAATCTTCTCAAGAGTAGCAAGAACTTCAGAACTCACTTCCACAAATTTGACATAGATCTCCATAGTATTTCAGACGTTCCAAGTGAGATTAATCATTTCGCAAGTTACGAAGATGTAAATTAACAAATGTTGGCGACGGAATAAAAATGAATATCAACATTTATGCCAGAAAAAAAAACGCGGGTAGTAAACAGAACTTCATACATTATGAATCGACATTTAAGAATTAGATCTACGATATTTCAGGCCAAAATCTGCTCAAACAAACATCTACATATACTGTTAGCAAGAAATGAGAGAAAAATAGACTACGAATAATAGTCAGTTCCAGAATCACCAGATCTAGTCACACTCCTAGTGCTACATGAAACCAAGCAGAGAGAGAGAAAAAGAGTATACAGAGCAATTGCATAGTACCTCTAAGATGATGCAGATCTGAGTCTGTGTTCGAAATGCCAAGTAAAGGAGTAGGGACAATGGCTCACCGACACCGGTCTGCAGGATTTAGGGCTCCATTTATAGGCGGGAGTGGGACTGCCACCTAAAATTTTGTCACCGGTTACCGGATTGTCAGGTAAGGATTCTATGTTACTATTAGGGGAGGGAGTTGATGACAGAGACAAATATAAGGTTCTAATGTGATTGTCAGAATAATAGAGGATATTTAGATAAATATTAAGGCCCTATTTAATTGTTATATAGAAAATAACACATTCGAGAAAAACGAATTTTACTTTAACCGTTTAATTGCAACGTGAAAATAAAAATCGAATTATAAGGTACAATCGTTTTAAACTGTATTTTCTTTGTTTTAATGGAAAACGAATTTATATGAGTTTAGTGAGTTTTTATTTTCCAATTAACATGAAATTGAAATTTCTTTCTACCTTTACCTATCAAACGGACCCCAAATGCTAACATTTGGCATTGGATTAATACCATAAAACCCAATAAAAACGTTTCATTTGCAATATGTCACATGCTTATTGAAAATTGCAAAAAACTCTCTATTTGAATCATTTGTATGAAAAACTCCCCTTCCGTCATCTTTCATCAAATTTGTCATTAAAAAATAGTAAAAATGTCAAAATTAAAAATGAATAATTACAATTTCAGTATCCAAACTTTTTTGGAAGATGTTACGTGTACACAATGGTGTACACATAGCGTTTTTCAACTTTTTTATGTTTTCACATATTAAATTCAATTTTTTTACCTGCAATCCCAAAATTTTAAAAATTTATTTTCCACCCCCACCCTAGCTCACTCCCCTTCATCCTCCTCCTCTTTTTCCTCCAAAATATAAAAACCATTTTGAGGCTTGATTTCACAATTCTATTTGGATCCGCCATTCGAGTTACCCTTTTGAAGCTCAATAAGGGTTTGGGAGAAAGTGGGAAAAATGAGGTTTTGGGGAAAATTTCTCCCCAAAAAGAGGAAGGGTTTTTTCAATTAGTTCGCTAGCGGTTTTCAAGGGAATAGTGAATCGGAGGCCGTGAATTGGGAGTCGAAGATGGCGAAGGTGAGGGAGTTTCTTGATAACGAGATGGTTTCGAACTGAAGTGAAAAAATTGCTCTCTGTTTACATTGCTTTCAGGTTCATATGTTGTACATAGTATCATTACATCTACGTTCCATAGAAATTGTAATCTTGTAGCCAATCATAGAATTTTGCAGTGTATATATAAAAATAAAATATTCTATATTTTAGAGAGTTAATGCTTAAAAATAAGTTTTAAGAGACTCTCTATTTTAATATTTTAAAATAGATGATGAATTTGATTTTTCAAACTCACCATCTACTATTAATTAATAATTATTGCATTTAATAATTTATAAATATTAATACTCTACAATTTAAGCTTCTATTTGGTGTGGATTAAAATCGGATTTTTAATAGATTTTGATAAAAGTTGATGAAATTAATGATTGAAAAATATTGAATCTCATAAAATGTGTGGTTATAATTTATTGTTGATTTTGACTTAGATTAAGCCCCTATTTGATCTACATTATTATCTCATTAAAATGAAAAATATGACCGTTATCCGTCGCATTAACATTTAAATTCAAATTTTCTATATCTTATGTGGGCTCATTTTCATTCTACAATAATTTGGCTCAAACAGGGTGTAAGCTTGTGTTTGGCACTCATTATTATTATTATTATTATTTATTATTTTTCTCTTTCTCAATTATAAAAAATCTAAAATTTTTCATTAATTTTTATAGAATTTAACCAAATGTGGTGGTTGGGATTACCAAAATAAAAGGTTGGTATAAAGTTAGTATAGTAAAACTAGAAATTATGAGAGGGTTGGTGATGGACTAAATAATTGCATCAACTTGATTAGTGTATATATATTTACAAAGTCAAATTAAATGTTTCATAGTTTCATAGTCCAATCAGTCACCAACCAAGAGTTGAAACTTAAACGTAACTATCTCGATGTCTCCATATGTTGATATTAAAATCCTTAGCATGAACAAGTATTACTTGAAAAAATATAAAATATTCCAAGTATATTTTAGAATTTGTTTCATAAAACTAGCATAACAAGATAAAGCCCATGTTTGATGGTCACTATTTGACAAAAATAAAGTTTTGAATAGTGAATTTTTGGACAAAGTGTGGTTAAAAAATAGGAAAAATGTTGGATTTATGTGTAAAATATTTTATTGTGTGAATATTTGATTGAAAATGAATATGTAGAATAAAGAAAATTGAGATAATGATTGTCAAACATGGGCTAACTAACATCAATTAAATTAAAAACTTAACATTGTAAGTACCCCTCCTTCTTAAACGAATATTTTTGTGATAATTCTTATTTTTAGAGCTATAATTTAATCCTTTTTTTTTGGAAAAAAAATACAAAAAAATATCCTATAAAATTATGTTTTGACCTGAAAAAGAAAAATTCAAACATAGCATATATTTATTAACAGAAGCTGTAGCTAGTTGGTAAGGAACATATGGATATCTACTAATATAGAGCAGGAATTGCTTCCATGATTCCAGTACCACACAAAGTGCACGTAGTTGCAGCTAATCCAAATCTCAAGTTCAGAAATTATCAGTTGTCCTACACTCAGGGGCGGAGCCCAATGAGATCCAGGGTGGGCATGGGCCCAAGAGGAGTAAAGCCCCCAATCCAAAAAATATATAAAAAAAAAATCAGGTCATAGCTCCATCCAGCCTCTGCGTGACTGCGTCTCCTTTCATTTACCTCCAGGCATCACACCGCCTTTGGCCCCCTGCGTCTCCTCCAAGCTTCAGCCTCCATTTCAATTCAAAACACTATACTAAGGTTGCAGCTTAGCACTCGGCAGCACTGCATCAGTAACCTACAGTACCTACTGCAAGTCTGTAGCTTTTTTTCTTTCTCTTTGATGTATATTTTGTGTATGAAGAAACCAATTGTTAGTAAATAAGGTGATGGTCGAGAGAGAGAGAGAGAGAGAGAGAG